TGGAGGGGCACGGCCATCTCACACAGAGCAGAGCGGGGCGCGGGGCGGCCGATGGTGTTCCGGGCGCGGCCCCAGCCCGTCGCCAAGTGTTTTTGTTCGCTATGGCTGTTGGTCCAGCGCCCCCTGCCCTCCCCCCTCTGCTCCCCCAAAACATTGATTGCCCCTCTCCTCTCATGTGTGGCGGGGAAGCTCACAGCCCTTCACGAAATCCACGACAGACATTCCGCATCGCCCCTCCTCATGCAGGCGGACTTCAGTGTCTTTCACTTATTTAGATAATTGGAACTGAAGCTTCCAGTTTGTTTCCTCTATCTGACTGTAAAATCCTCCCCCTCCTCTTTCGCACCGATAATGTAATTGAGCAACTGCTTAACACTTGTAAGTGTGCTACTGCAAGTTAAATACTTGAAAGTGTTCAACTCCGTAGTGAAACACTTGCAAGTGAACAAGTCGGTAGCTGCGCACTTTTCCGTTGAGCACTTCCCCCACAGTGAGCGTCCAATCGAAGGTAGTGTACCAGGTGGCTGATTCACGCCGCGCACGTCTGTGGGTATACTGTACCGCATGCACGAGTGCGGGCGGGCTTGCCTATCGCCCCTGTCCACGGCGCCTTACGAGCCGAGCGAGTAGGCAACCCTCCCGCGCTCGTGCATGCGGTACAGCATAGCTACAGAAGTGCGCGGCGTAAATCAGCCACCTGGTACAATAGAGGAGTTGCACCCTTGCAAGTGTATAGCTACCGACTTGATCACTCGCGCAAGTGTACAACTATGGAGTTGAGCACTTACAAGTATTCTCCTTGCATTTGCACACTCCAAGTGATAAGCAATTGCACACTTTGTTTATCAGTGCGGCGTTTCTCGCTGCTCGTTTCGTCCCTCGTGCAGCCTTGTCTGCAGTGCAGCTCGCTGTTAATACAGGCCCGTCTCACTTGCCGGAATATTTCCCCCATTAAAAGAGGGGCCTGTGCGCCCACGGAGAGGGACGAGTAAGGGGGGGGGCAGTGGCTGGCGATAATCTAATCCCTGGTAATTCAATCAAGTTAGTTCTTTCTGGTGTTTGCTGGGCGCGGCGGCTGCGCTTTGTCGAGCGTGAGTGTGCGTGCATTCGCAAGGTGCATGTCCTGCTGTATTCTTTCCCCACACACCCTCTAATCCCCCCCCCCCCCATTTTTCCTCCCCAAAGATCTCTTTCTCTCGCTCGGCCTTTACCCTTGCCTTTTTCGGAGAGCAGAGAACACCGAGCGCAACGGCTGAATTTGGTGCAGGAATGGCGCCCGAGGTCCAGCTCCCTGATGTGGGACTCCGTGGTCGCCTGCTCCTTCCGCACGTCTCGCAGGAGGGCGTAGAAGGTCGGGTGGGCCTTCCCGACGAGGGCGTTGAAGCGGCGATGCCAGGCCTCGCACAGGTTGTTCGTGCGTTGCTCAGCGTGCTGGGCCGCCACGTACTGATTCCAGTCAGCGGGGCTGTACCTGTAGAAAACGGGTAGGTACTTCTGCGCGCAGGAGTGTGAGGGTGTGTCTGTGGATGTCGTTATACCTCGGCCGCACCGACGGAGGACGACGGGC